ACCTAAAGATAATTCTTTTGAATTCCTTATCAGAGAGTTCCAATTCTGCTTCTTCCTCAGGGATGTGTTCTGGGTCTGTATTCTGCTCCATTGTTTCTACCACTAACTGCTTCTTGGTGTGGACTTGATGGTCTGTTGTCTCTGAGGCATCGTGGTATTGTTGTATTTAGATCTCTCTTAACTGTGAAGAGTGGCCAAGGGTGATCCAGGCTCTTCTTGGTGGTTTTTTTATCGTTGGCCCGTTGGTGGAGAAGGAGGTAGTGGCTCTCATTCAGTAAGTGAAGTTGCAGGAGGTGTGTGTGTAGTTGTGTCTTATGGGGACTGTTGTTGTCTCCCACTCAGTTAGATACAAATTACAATTGAATAGCCATCAGAAAACTTTTCTCTCTTGCAAGTCTGGAGTGTCCTTGAGGTTGCTGGAAAGCAGAACGTGTTCTTAAGCACCAGGAATCTGCGAGAGCTCTGTCTCTTTAAATATTCAAAATAGTCAAGCTGCTTTTAGACCTTCAAATTGGCGGTGTCCTCCAGACCGGCAAAAGTTCACAGCTCAGCCGCCTTTCTCTTCACCTTCTCTGTTTATTCCCCAGCCACCAGAGCAGTCCTCTGCAGCCCCTGGCTAGCAGGGCTGATTTTTAGGTTAATTCTTAGGTCCTACCACCACTTGGGAATCTCTAAGCTGTCTGTGCAATCAGGATCGCTGCCAGACTGCAACTCTGTATGTCTCCTTTTTTGATATTTGCACATAAATTCTTCTGCTAGTTGGGGTTTAGTCCACTTCTATTTCCTTCCCTTCAAGGCTCAGGGGTCCAAGATTATCTTCTGTGTCTGTGTTAATTGGTTTCCCTTTTCTTTGTTGAAGAGGGGTCTGTGCAGTCTTTCTGTCTAGTCCGCCATCTTGCCGGAACCTCTCACATTTGTTTCTTTAATGACTCCAGGATATGTTATAGCACAGCCACATTGGTTGAGTATTTAATGGAGAGGAAATGCACCCCAGTATCTTCTGTAGTTATTGACATCTGACATTTATACTCAAACTTCAGACCTCTCTCCAGTGTGTACCTCTAACTTCAGTGTCCTGGATTAAGACAAAATTGGATATCCTTATATATATATTTTTTTCCTCTGCTGTATGTGTAAAATGAGGTGTGGTAGCCCAGTGACTAAAGGCATCTGACTGTTAACCTGAAGGTTGGTGCTTCAAACCCACCAACCACTCTGTGGAAACAAAACTGGGCAATGTGTTTCTGTAAAGATTTACCACCTCGGAAACCCAGTGGGTGTTTCTATAAATTGGAATCGACTCCATGGCAGTGAGTTTAGTTTGGTTTGGTTTGGTTTTGGTGGGTGAAAAATGTGAGAATATAAAATATATTTGTTGGACTTGGGATCAGATTTGGAATAGGATTTTTGAATAGGAGTTGGTGTGTTTGCATGAAAAAGCCAGTGTATAATAATTGAAAACTACTGGTAGAGAGTTTCTGGCAAAAAGTAGCTGTTCATTATACATTTTAACTATTGTTATTATTCTAGAGATTCTGTGGATTCTCACATAATTCAGTAAAGATCTTCCCACCTGTGGGAAATATGGGTGTTATTTTTATTTGAGAAGCAGTTTTGTTTATATCAACAGGGACCACAGAAATAATTTAGATTTGCAATTTATTAATAAAATTATCTAAATGCTGCTACATCTTATTTGACAACTATTATTACCATTTTATAGATGGGAAAAGCACTTACTCCATAACTGGTTGCTTATTTAATACATACGTAGGGAAACAGTTCCTTCTAAAGAAAGATGCTTTGATGATGTCTGAGGTAGAAGTAAAATATATTGATTTTTTTGGTAGTTGAATGGAAGATATATGCATTTTCTCAGAAAGAGAATGTAGGGTTTTGTCCTTTTCTTAAATGTTTGTATTTTTCATTTCTAGGCTGTTCGCTGCTATGAATCTCTAATCTTAAAAGCTGAAGGAAAAGTGGAGTCTGATTTCTTTTGTCAATTAGGTCACTTCAACCTCTTATTGGAAGATTATACAAAAGGTAATTTTTTCTCTTTTGTTAATTAGTGCTTGACTTATGTATATATTTAAAGTAACTGTAATTGTACTATATCTTTATTAGAAGTATTACAATTTTTACTTCTAGGAATTTGAATGGTGTTAAAAAGAAAATTTCCATGGGTTTATATTTATGTATGAATGTGTAAGCTTGTTTTTTTTTACCATTCATGAATTGGTGATGGTGGGGCATCTGGTGTGGAAGTCAGGCAAGAGCTCCAAAGAGCGATACAAAGCTGAATGATTTTTATGGGCACAGATACACAGGAACAAGGAGGCTATATTTAGCAAAGTTTAGATTGACTTGTGGTCATTTTCTTTCTTTATTTGGAATTAAAGGAGAAATTTTGAACTAGGTAAACTAAGCAGGTAATTCCTAGTTGGTTAGCTTTGATTTCTGTTTGTGGGAGACTCAGTTGATTGACTTAAGTTTCACCTCCTGGAAAGGTAGGTCAGGCATTTACAGGAAATATAAATTAGCTAGATTTTGGTTTGCACATGTAGGGCTCAGCAAAAATGACTCACTCCATCTTGGGTCTATGTCAGGTCAGCAGTGGAAATGTGAAAATTTCATGTAAATCATCAAGAAATTGATCATTCAGTAAAACTGATAATCACATACATGTGCATTTATCAACTATAGTAAAAAGTGAGTCAGTCTGATTTATGTGTGGTGATTTTATCCATATTGGGGGACCCTTTGCAAAAGGGAATACAAAATTAGCATCTCTCTTTTCTTTCTTTGTCCTGAATTTAACTGACCCATTTTAGCTAGAAAATATTTGAGTGAAAATCTGGCCTGTAGCCATGTTATTTATTGTAAAGGTAAGTAGTAGTGAGATGATCACATATGAATTTGTACCTTGAATGAACCAAAAATTTTTATTCATTTGAAATTTTGTCTTCAATGGATGAATTAAATAACTGAATATACCCTCAAGATGAGCTCTTTTAATGGTGCCAAGCTGCCAGCTGAGACCTTTTCTCACTTAGGAAGTTGAACATGCCCCCAGATATCACCCCCTTTCCCCAATACCAAAAGAAAAATCTATAGCAAAGATAAACTGTATTCTTAGAAGCACAATTTTTTTTAACCTTTTGGTGATAATAAACATCTTGACGTGGAACGGGTGTATGTGTTGTGCTTGTTTTCAACAAATGTGGTTTTAGTGGGTAGAATAACTGGCAAATAGTTTGAGCGAAGGGTTTTTGGTGTATTCCATTGATGTTTTTGTTATACCACTTTTGTGTTAGGTCAAGTGAAATCTTAATGAAATACAATTTAAATGGTACACTGTGGGGTTTGCAGTTAGGCTTAGTTCTCAACTTGACTCTTATTTACAGATTATGTAATATTCATTAGCTTCTTGTCTTCTAATATGTGAAGGGGAGGTTGGGTAGGTGGGAATGAAAGCTTGGGAGTTTGGTGATTGTTATGTGAAACAGATTAGTATTTGGCAAAATGTCTTCAATTCAACAGGGTAATAGTTCCTAATAATGCCCATATATTTATACTTTGTTAAAAGAATATGGTAGCATAGTGCCTAAGGCACTTGACTGCTCACCAGGAGGCTGGTGGTTCAAACCCACCAGCCACTCCTTGGAAGGAAGGTTGGGCAATCCTACTTCCGTAGTGATACTGCCTCGGAAACCCAAGGAGGGGTCGCTATGTGTCAGGGCTGACTCGACGGGAAACAACAACAACAACAACAACAAAAGAATATGTGGAATTATATGCAATGAGCTAATTTTTCAATGCTGCAACTCTTACTTGGAGAGCATACTAATTTGAAAGTACATAAACAGAGACCAGACTTGAAAATTAAGTTTGCATATGGTCCTATCAGTCCTTGTGGTTCATTGATGATTAAGCAACACATACATTTTTAAATTATTTAAAAATTTTATTAGTTTATGAAATTTAGCTATGTTTTCCATTTATATAAAATTTGGCTGTGAAGGAGATGAAAAATCCAGGGACACTGTATTTTTTCTTTTTGAAGGTTTGGGGTGTGTGGCATCTAGATTATACTGGCAAACTACCTGTTGGGAATAATCTAGTAAGGAGGGAGAGGAGAAGAGAAGTATAACCTAAGGATTTAAGTCCTTGAAAAGATGTCCTCTGAGACTGTCCACTGGTATGTAGATGAATCAGTTATTGCTAAGTAGGCAGAAGCTTGATTATTTGCAACAGGAGGAAGCCCCAAACGAAATCCACTGCCATCAAGTTGAATCCTGACTCATAGAGACCCTGCCGCTCAGAGCAGAACTGCCTCATAGGGTTTCCAAGGCTGCAAATCTTTATGGAAGCAGACTGCCTCTTCTTTCTTCTGTAGAGTAGCTGGTCGGTTCTAACTACCGACCTTTTGGTTAGGAGCTGAATGCCTCAACCACTGCACCATCAGAGCTCCTTATAGAAGAAGCAGCAGAAAATAGACACAGAGGCATACATATGTACTTAGTATATCTCAGGATTTCAAGCTGGTAGCTCCTATTTCCTAGCTGTGAGTTATTATTATTTTTTTAATCCCTCTTAAGATTTTATTCGCCATATTCCCTTTTTAAACATTTTCTTTTTTAATACTGATTATCATACTCTTTCTATCCATTCTTGTCACTGTCTTTCCACAAGTCTAAAACTAGAACCATTCTCTAATAGGCACTTCCTCTTTCCCCTACAGGAGCTCTGGTAGCGTCGTGCCTAAGGCACTTGACTGCTAACCAGAAGGCTGGTGGTTCAAATCCACCAGCCATTGCTTGGAAGGAAGGATGGGCAATCTACTTCTGTGGTGATAATGCCTTGGCAACCCAAGGAGGGGTCACTGTGAGTTGGATCCCACTCGATGGCACATAACAACAGCAACTCCCCACCCCCCACACACCACCATCCCCTTTTCACCAGTTTATGGAGGCATTTCTTAGGTCACACTACTCCTTTCTTTGTACCCTGTATAAGATAAGAAAACTACCAACCCCAGGCAAATAGGTGCTTATCCTTAGGGGACAGATTTTAAATCAGAGCATTTTGGGAATAAAACCACACATTGAACATGTAATTTTGTGAGTAAACTGCTCAGGTATATATATGTGAGGGACTTATTTACCTAGTTATTCTAAGATAGTCCTTTATTTGCTCTGAGTTGTCATCATCTTTGTGTTACATTTTCTGAGTTTGGGGTTTCACTGAGGTTGGTTACTTAGGAAAAATTGCCTCTACTTATGCAGTAGAAAATGATAGAACCTATTTTTTGTACATTTTGAACTGTGGTGGCTCTGCCTTTATTTCTCTTCATATTGATCCCATCTACTTTCTGTCTTAAAGGAATTCCTAAAAATTTCTGATCTACAAATGGTATTGTTCGGTTATCATTACTGTTAAGATTATCATTACTGTTATTTTTCATTAAAAAATTTTTTTTCTGTCATTTTAAATGGATTTAAAGCAGAAGGAAGGAAGACACTGTAAAACATTTTCTTAGCCTTTCTGGCTGATAATATGTATAAAATGTTGTTGTTAAATGGCGTTCAGTCGTCTCCAACTCATAGTAACCATGTGTACAGCAGAATGAAATACTACTCGGTCCTGTCCCAGCCCCCATAATCCTTGCTATACCTGAACCCATTGTTGTGGTCACTGTATCAGTCTATCTTGTTGAGGGCATTCCCCTTTTTTGTTGACCCTCCACTATCAATATCAAATACAAAGAAAAATTTATCTTGCTTTATTTGGCCATTTTGCTTTTAGGCATTTATCCTGACACAGTAATTGGGTAAAGGATCCTGGGAAAACTGAGGCTTAGTGCACTTGGCCTATTGTCATGGATTGGATTCCTTGGGAAGCTGACTCTGATAGGGAGTTTAACATACAGGATGTTTGGTAAGGAGTGCCTTTGGGAACATCTGTGGTCACTATGAGTCAGAATCCACTGGACAACAGTGGGTTTGTTTTGGAAGGGAAGGGATGGAACCAGGGTTGGACATAGGGAGAAGTTAAACTATGATAGGCATGGCCAGTTCCACAGAGGGCTCTGGAGTTAGAATGGCCCTTCAGAGTTGTCCTAAAATGGGCTATGATGGCCAGGCTTTTATACTCCATTAAGCAGTGGATGTAGGGTAGCTTGGGAGAGGAGCATGAATTCGGCTGAAGCAGCCTCTGAAGAGTCTCAAAACTAGAGGCTGCCTGCAAGCAGGACTCCCAAAGGCTAGGACATTTCCTGTAAGTAGGGGCTCTTCACAGTGTCTACCATACCTCCTTTCCATTCCTAACTCCAGAGCTAACCCCTGAGCTTCTAATGAACCAAAAAAGTGATAGAGTTGGCAGAGTTCTTGCAGTGATTTCTCTTCTTCTGGTTGGAGCAGAACCAGAGGTGCAGTAGATAGAGAGCCCTGGGTTGCAGGACAAGCATATGCAATCATACGAATATACATGATGGCTCTTACAAGCAGTTTTATTGATAGAAAATCTTGACTTCTGTAATTGTGTGTGGGTTAAGTTATAGAAGAGGACTGAACTAAGTTAGTTGATTAAAAAAATCAAGTGTTTTGGTTACCTAGTGTCACTCTAACAGAAATACCACAAATGGGATTGCTTTAACAAATAGGAGTTTATTATCTTACAGCTTTGGAAGTTAGAAGTCCGAGTTTCAGGTGCCAAGCCCTAGGGGCTGGGTAAAAGCCCCTCAGCCTTGGAATTCAGCTCTGCCTCTTGCTCTTGGCCCTCTGAAGCTAGAACCATCTCTTCATTCAGGCAGCTGCTGGCTGCTGAAGCTGACAAGCCCAAGGTTGACAAGTGAAATGGCACAGTCCCGATATTACCAAACCACAAGGCAGGCTACTAATTCAAGTCCATTAAAAGTCCCAAGATCGGCAGGGCGACGTGGCAGGCTGCCGTTCAATGATTCGGTTATATGCAGTGTTCAAGCATACCATCAACTGGAGACCTTCCTCAAAACTGCTTCTTACATACTGGAAGCATCCCAGATC